CGTGAGTGCGTGCGTGCGTGCGTGCATGTGTACTTACACGTGCGTGCATGCGTGCGTGTGCACGTACACGTGCGTGCATGAGTGTGTGCGTGCGTGTGCACGTACACGTACGTGCGCGCGTGCGTGCGTGCGTCCGTGTGTGTGCACGTACACGTGCGTTCGTGCGTGCGTGTGCATGTGCACGTAGACGTGCGTGTATGTGCACGTACAAGTGCGTGCGTGCGTGCGTGTGCACGTACACGTGCGTGCATGAGTGTGTGGGTGCGTGTGTGCGTGCGTGCGTGTGTACGTACACGTGCGTGCGTGTGCTTGTATCGAACAATATCACGCATCTGCTTGCTGCCAACCGTTAAACTGCGCATGTGCGCATATGACGTCAATGTTTATCAACATGAAACACTCCTATTATATACAAGTAAAGTGATTAAGGTAAGTGTTGGAGCAGTTAAAGAAAAAAAAGGAAAAAAATAGAAGCTTTCTGAGTGATACAATACAAAACAGTGCTATATACCATAAAGAAAAAATATAAACGAGAAAAAAAACTTCAGCATATTCTGTACAAGTAAAGTGATTACAGTAAATGTTTAGCAGGTAGAAATGATGTTTCCTGAGTGAATACAGTACAAAGCAGTGCAGAACAACACGAAGAAAAAACTAAATACACACAAAAAAACTTTATCAAATTTTGTGCAAGTAGTGGGTACTACTTGCACAAAATTTGATAAAGTTTTTTTGTGTGTATTTAGTTTTTTACCCTTTTAGCACATCATTTCGACACTCGGTTTATACACCATTATATCCACATTACAAATAACATATTTCGCACACACTCACATATTTGTATAGATATAAACGTATTGAAAAGTGCAATAGTGTTGGGCAGTTCAAATGGTAATTTTGAGTGATACGTAGGCCTACAGTACAAAGCAGTGCATATACAACATGAAGAAAAAATAGATACAAGAAAAAAACTTCAGTATAGCATGTGCAGGCAAAATGATTAAGGTACACTTTACCATCATTTCGACACTCATACGTACATTATTATATACATATATTGCATACTACATACATGTATAAATTAACCCACAGCTAAGTGTAATATAATTATATATAAGATAATACTTATATCAAGTACAAATACACTAATAATTGTAATAGTGATGAGATCATGTCACCCCTATATTTAATCTATTCATTTATACGTGATTAGTAAAATATGAAGTCACTGTCTTTCATTGTCATGCACTCACTTTTCCATAAGACGTTTTTTATAACTTGCCATTTGAAACTAATATATCTGGCTGCAGATCTAATGTGAGGTGGTAGGGAGTTCCAAGCTTCAATTGAAGTATATATAAATGTCTTTTTACCATTGACCCCACTCTTGGTTTAAAGATTGACAGCTCGATCCCAGCCCTAGTTTTGAAACCGTGAATTTCCACGGTCATATCCTGAAGGTCAAATTTCCATGTCCTACTCTTTCTAGAACTTTGGACATAACGCTAAGAATCGACACAAGTCTATAGTTTCCTGGATCGGTTTTGCTTTCTTTTTTGTGTGCAAGGGGATGACTCTCGCCCATTTCATGTCATCTGGAATTATTCCATTGAGGAATGATAAGTTGCTATGTATAAATCAGGCCCGTAGCCAGCTTTCTATTGGGGGGGGGTTCGTTTTTCAATGTTGGCAATTTGCTCGGCAGGGGCGTGTACAGGATTTGTAGCCCGGGTGGGTCTAAATACTATAATAAACCCGTTAACCCAAAGTTGCGAAGCACGGCGAAGGTGGCGGTCTGGGCGGCCCCTCGCAGAAATTTTTTAAAATTAGACCCCTCAATGCCGTTTTCTGGCGCGAGCAACAAGGGGGGTTGCCGGACTCGCCTGGACCCAAGAAGAGCACGACACCTGCTCGGGCGCGAAAGCGACCAGGCGAGGGAGCCAAGCGACCGAGGCGGGGGGAGGGGTGTGGGAGGGGGGTGTTCATTGTTATCACAGGAAGGGACCTGCCGACGATGGAGATTTTTGCAATTATTATCCTAAAATGGAGCGACCTGAGGTGAAATTTCTGCAAAGATTTTCAAATTATTATTTTGTTTGCTTGGTGGGTGGGGACGGGGTCAGGGGGGGGTCGTTCGAACCCCCCGAACCCCCCCTGGCTACGGGCCTGTATAAATGCCTCACAAATAATCTCAGACCCATCGTTTATAAATTTAGCTGGTATGTTATCTAACCTTGTAGCTAAGTTTATGTTATTAAGTACCTTTAAGACCTCTTCTTTGCTTACAGGGAAAAATTTAAAATTATTTCCTAGTACTCCTCTGCCTCTATAGTAATTAGTGACTCGTGTCTCATCGTAAATGCCAGACTTTTTGGGCAATTTTTCCACTAGGGTTGAGGCCACGTTCGTAAAGAAAGTATTAAAGCTATCTGCTACCCTTGACTTTTCAAAACATATATTGTTCATACCCTTACCTTTTAGAGTGTGCCATAATTTCTTAGGATTATTCTTGTTGCTTTCAATCTTTTCTGTATAAAAATGGGCTTTTGCCCTCTTAATCTCATTCTGAGCTTTGTTCCTAAGTAACTTGAAATCCCTAAAGTCAATTTCATCCTTATTTCTCCTGAATTGTAATAGTTTCCTGTCCCTTTCCCTAATAAGTTCCTTTATCTCCGAGTTAAACCATGTCTCTGATCTCTGTTTTATTCTGACCTGCTTAATGGGTGCTACAGTGTCGATGGCTTCAAGAAGATAGGTTTTAAAATTTACCCATGCTATATCTATAGAATCTGAATTCAAGATATCCAACCATTTCTTTTTCATTAGGATCTCTTTAAATATCTCTGGGCTGTAGTGTTTCATTGACCTAATTAAAGTAGTACGATGCTTACCTATAACCTGTCTAATAGATTTCCTTGTACAGTATGTTAGGAAATGATCACTTTCCACATTCCCACTTCCGTTGGGTGCACTGAGTACATTCCCAGTTTTTACAGATAAGAAGGCGGACATAACGTTTGATGATTGGATTTTTAATTTGCAGAGACTTGGTCTGATAATGAAAGAACGGGATGATGGTAGAAGGGCTCGATTAGCATTACGGTTATTACGTGGGGAGGCAGCCAACTATGCAGCGGCATTATTGAGTCAGAACCCCGCCATGGGATGGGCTGAACTCGGTGTTTTGTTAAGAGAGAATTATTCAGACGGATCGGCCGTGGCGCTATCACTCCAGAAGTTTAAGCGAGATAGACAGATGCGCCATGAGAGTGTGGTGGCATATGCGAAGCGGTTGGAGGTAGAAGCCAGACGCGCATTTGGAGCACACGCATGGGATGATGTACATGTCCAGATTCGAATAGTCGATCAAT